TTAACGTCCCAAAACCACCATATCAATATGAGAGACGCCGTAGTGGAGGGCTCCGGAAATTTCGACCACCTGGGGTTCTTTAACGTGCACCCAAATCTGAGCACACGGGCCTACAACATTTCCGCCTCCATCGGAAATGCAGCCGTTGCAGCCGCAATTCGAACCCGCAACCTGCGGGTCACCCGCAACCTGCGAGTACCTTAGCCACTTAGAGAATTTTGTCGAAAAGGTAGAGGCCCAAAGACGTATCCCAGCACAGGCTGCTTCCTAACCATTGCCCACAGTTGGCTGATCCCGACTACTACTGACAAATGCTGCCTCTTGACAAGCTAGGCAGCTTGCGGTATAGCTTGCGACATGAAAGGTGTACGCACCCAGACACACGTGAAAGTTCATAGAGCAGGATGACATGCTTACTTGAAGAGTTTCCTGCCGTCGGCTTCATCACTGATACTACTGCTGTTATTTCGTTTGCAATTTTTTTCGATGAGAAGGCACTGCTTTCCGTTGGCCGTCAGCTTTCAATCACTTCTGGCGTATTCGGTACGAAGAAAAAAAAACTCTGTATGAGTACGTCAGCCCACTTCTCTGTGGAGCGCCCTCGTTAATTGCCCTTTGTTTTTGTTAACACCGGCGGCAACGTTCGACACCGTCGCCCACAGCGGAAACTCGCGCACAAATTACACCAATCAGTGTACACAAAAGGGACCGCTAGGAAACGTTTGCAAGGGTCAGAGGATAGATATGTACACTGCGTTTCGGACGAGAATAATTTCGCGGTCGTCCTCTTAATCTGATAATAGGCGATAAGCTTCGGCGCCATCGTTTGCGTTGTTTGCAACTGGTGATCTCTTTATGGTGCCAATACCTCAAGGGTGACCGTGCTTCTAAAATCAATTATTCGTGATAGAACTGAATACTTTGAGCACACAGCAGGCTTTGTAAAACTTAAAGAATAAAAATATAGACTATAGAACAACCTTGGTTTGGGTGAGGTTGCTCATGTTCAAACTTTTCGGGGTGGAGTGCTATGAAACACACGGACAGAAACACACATGGTAGACGTGACAAGCGCTGGTCTTTGGGTCGTTTGAGTTTCAACAATGCTTGTTGCCGTTTTGCGCCATTGCAATTCTTGGATTACACACACGGTTAGGATGCTTCGTCAAGAAATGAAACACGTATCAACGCCTAAGTTGCGAGTTGGTACATCGTTTCAAAGCACTTCAGAGTCGTAAGCGGACAAGGGCGAAACAACACAAAGTCCTTACATTTTCTATCTACGAGCGAGAAACATTATTCATAACAGCTCTGCTGCAAAATGTGTGTTAATGATAAAGGGGTAATGACACAAAAACTTTGGCCTCGCGTTTTTCTGCTGCAATGCGTTGCTGGGGGCCCGTTAGTCATGACACGACACATCGTTTGCTGCAGCACGTGACAGATAATTAAATACAGGCCCCTCATTATCAATCACTTTCAGTTTTCATTTGAGAGAGTTCCAAAAACTGGGTGCAACTGTCGCCACCTAGCGTGTGCAGCTCTTGACCACGTCGCACACAAAACTGTGACGTACTTCCGCACGATCCGCATAAGGAATTACTCTCGAATGGGAAACTGGACTGGAATGTCACCAAACACATAACTTTCTAAGCGTGCGCCACGGCCACGCACTAGCAACCAGCCGCCGAGAAATATAGACTGCGGGAACTAATGCGGCAAAGGAAAAATGGCGCCTATGAGGTCATCATAACTTGTTTTGTTGACCGTAGCGTGATGACGTGAGGGAAGTAGGGGGTTACCTCGGGGTGCCTTCCGATGGTGTCTATAGCGCTATGGAGTCGGTCGCTCACGCGAACTTCAAAATGAATTTAGGAGGAGGAGGAGGAGGAATAAATGAGGAAGGACACGGAGGTTAGCCACAAAATGAATTTAAAATGCCTTCCAAGCTATGTTCTCTGTTGATATCTTGCAGGTGATATAGAAATGTTCACGAGAATCGACCCCGGAGGCTATCTCGGCCCCGAAATGTGTGTAACCCTTTAACACTCTTCCTAAATGCCATGGGGAAAAAAACGAAGAAACAAGACGAGGAAGACCGGCGCCGAACGTCTTGTTTCGTCCTTGAGAAATTCATACGCCGCGGGTAGGTGCTGGAGCTCAAGTTTCGACAAGTGGACTCGTTTTTCTGCAAGCTGGCACCCTGGAGTTACAACAATGAAGAAGACAAGCCCGCTTGTCGGAACCTCGGCTCCAGTACCCCCAACCCCCAACCACCCGTTTACGAATAACTCATCGCAAGCTTCCATCTTCCCCTCCTTGACTCTCTTTTGTTTTGTGATTGGCTGTTTAGTATGGAGACGTATTTAAATAAAAAAACATGTATTAAAATGTATGGGAAACTATTTCACGGCAAAGCTGCCTTGCTCGAAGTCTTTCGCGGGTCATAGATGAAAAATTGTCATCCTGAACCGGCGCGCGCTAAGCCATGTCCCAATGATCCGAAGGCCAGTGTGGCAACTATTCGGCTCTTCAAGCACCAGTAGAGCATATAGCATAGTTTTATGAATTATAATATAGCAAGGCGATGGGAAACAGATGTGAAGGTGAGTAGTACAGACGTTAGGTGTGGAGGAGGAGGAGGGCCAATAGGAGAAGAGAACCAGTAGACAAATGGGAAAATATAGAGAAAGAGAGCAATAGAAAGGAAGGGAAAAACAAAATCACCAGGCCTACGCGGAACGCGCAGCACAGTTGTAATGCAAAAACTGCAAGGGAGACCTTTCTGGAGCCTTTCTTAAACACTCTTGGGGGAACTACTACTAGCACACTTGCGGGGTACCCACTAGAACACAAAATCAACATATATACATAAATACGCTAAGGGTCGGATTTCGACTGAAGCCCTTCACGTACTGGTGCATGCCGGCCAGATTTCCCAGGCTACCTCGATCTGGATACCCGCCGATATGGGCGAAGTCTGCCCGCCCATATGAAGAGAAAAGAAGAGAAAAGTGAGCCCCGTAACTGTCTCTCAGGGGGAGGACACCTCCACAGTAGCTCACGAGGGGTGGTGGTAAAGGAGGGATTAAAAAGATAGGATTAAAGGTAAAGAGATAGAGAGAGAGGAAGGAGAGAGCGAGGCGCGGGGAAGCGAACGACGGAAGTAAGGAGAATATAGGAAAGATGGAGACGGTCGCAGAAGCCCGAGGACGGGGCACCACTGCCGAGAGCTCTTGTCGGCGACAGGAGATGGCGCAGGGCGAGTCCAGTCGGCCAGAGCGGCGCTGTCGTCGGAAAGGGCGGGGGAACAACCGGTCGGCACGAAATTCAGAGAGCGAGTCGGTCAAGCTCCCACGCAGACGGCCCAGGTGCGAACCTTGTTCTCTGCTCGGTAACTTTTACGTAGCTTATTTCTTATTTCGCGTGATTATGAACAACGGGGGAAGTGGACAACTACGGCATCAAAATCGGTCCTTTTTGTGATCTCGCAATAGCTTTTGCTTTAAAAAAAGAACAGGTAGGGAGCGACGAAACGACATTAGAAAGAGCGAGAGAAAGGGGGGCATAAAGAAAAGAAAAGAAATCTATAGAAGAAAGGAAAAGATAGAAAGAAAGAAGAAGAAATAGTGAAGCATAAACCACCGCGAGCCTGCGCGGAACGCCCAGGCCCGAGCGGTTTTCAGGGTCTTTTCTAAACACTATTTGGGTAACTGCTACAATCGCACATGCCGGGTACACACTACGTCTTAAATAATTATAATTTGTGTGTAGTAGGCCACTATGCTTGCCTTCGTCATTCTTCTAAGAAGTGTGGTATCCGGTGCACACTTGCTATAGAAAAGCCCGGGCTGCTGGGCGACTTGCTAGTTCATCTTAATTGAGTTGCGCGAAAAACATTAAAGTGCAAAAGGGAGACGATCTGTCCAGGTGTCTTCTTTTTGTACGCTGCCGCCGAAAAAATGTCAAGCTCATATTCTTTTAGCGGGACGGCTCAGTGCTCTCCCATAGTTGAGTACGAAGTACTCGAAATCGTTAAACATTTTTTAAACACTTCAAGTTTTTCGCACAACTGAGTGAAGTGCTAGAAAACTTGTGCAAATTTTTTATGCAATGACTGACAGCGATGAAGAATTATGCATGAAGTGGGTATGCGCCACAGTCCACAGGTGATTCCCGAACAAGTTTTCTAATGAGTTGGAGCATTGGTACGACCCACTCGTTACGCAATTCCTGTTGTGTGACGCCTGGTTGTTTCTCTGATATTTTAAAACACTCAATTACTCATATTAGCGAGATTCCTTTCCCGACATCAAGCCTGCCTAAGGCCTCTTCGCAAACGAGCTCGTATCACCGGCGTAGGTGGTAGACTACTGGGCCGGCCAACAGTGGACCTGGGTTCAAATCCCACTGAGTCCTTGGTGATTTACCAAGTTTTCTTTCTTATTTCTTGTAATACTATAGTTACGGACACTGGCGGCGCCAGTGGCGGAAAACTACGGCGCCACACGTCACCCGTGTGCTGATCTCATAGCAGCTTTCGCTGTAAGAGAGACCAAAAACAGATTGAAAAAGCAAGCATAGCCATTTAGAGTGTGGTATAGCCACGGGTAGAAATAACGAAACACGTGACTGTGGCAAGCCATGACCAGCTTGGTGCCCACCAGTTTGCGGTGACTCAGCCTTGTGTGCGATGCAGCGCAAGCCATTTGTCTTATATCAGAAACGTTCACACTCGCCACAACGCGTCAAGACACTCGTACGTTTTGTGCAAGTGCAAGTATTATACTGGCCGTATCACTCACATTTACTGCTATTTAGAAGCAATTTAATTAAAAAGAAAGCGTTAACAACAGCAAAAAACTGCGAGTTCCTCTCTGATACAGAACTATGGCAAAATATTCGTCCTAGTTTTACGTCTTAAGTAAAAAATATTCTATTAAAGCGACTGGGCGAGTTAACATTGGGCCTCGGGCGCAAAAGGATGGGCCTCGCTGAACCTCCAGGCTTCTGCTTGTCCACACCCGGTTGGCCTTGCGCTGGTCGTATGCCGGGGTGCGTAGCCCTCGCCACGTTGGACAGCGGCGACTGGCGACCCTGCACGTCTTGGGTACGCACAGCCAGGTAGAGGGTGAAGGCGCCGCCATCCGGTGGAAACAAGCGGGCCGGTACCAGCACGACGACGTGGTGTCGTTTCCGGGAAGGCCGTGGGCTCAGGCTTCCCCGAACGAGGTCCGTATCCCTGATCTGGAAGGCGCGCCGGAAGTTCTCCTCTAGTTCACTTCCGCGTTGACTGCAGCGCAGCTCCACGTGCTCAACGACGCCGGCGTCCAAGTGCGAGCCCATGGCTGTCCACGTGATCTCTAGTATCCACCGTGGTCCTCGCACCATGGACGCCTCGACGAGCAAGTCTGAGATGGCACCCGGTCCAATAGGGCTGCGCTCCCGGTATCCGACCAGCTGGAACGAGCCGGCATCGACATATCGTCCGAACATTGGACACGGCTCACCTGCCTCGGAAACCTGGGGCGCCCACTGGTCCTCAAAACCTATGTCTTCCGCCAGGTCGGTCAGGCGGTACGCCTTCTTGGGCATCACTATTAGGTTCGATGGCTTTCGTGCTAGGTCTGCGAGAGAGCTGCGACAGACATGGGGCAGCGTTACGTGGGCGTTACTCTCGTCGCCGGCAGCACGCACCGCCATGCGGTACCGTCCAGCGCCCGAGTGGTCCGTGAAGAAGGCCGAGTAGATGCCGTCTCCCGCACTCGTATCGGCACCGAGGCCGTCGTCGTGGAGAGTGATGACCACGTGCCTTCGTCGGGGCCGGCTCACCGAAGCCCACACCGATGCTCCCAGGACCACGTCCTTCCCTCTGGTGAGGCGAGCGTGCAGACTGGCTACAGCCGGGTAAGTGACCCACGACGCTGACGCCTGAGCCCGCAGCTGTATCGCGTGCTTGCCCCGAGTGGTGTACGACGTCACAAGCAGTGTCACGGTGGACGTCGCTGCCCCGCCAGCACCGCCACCTTTTGTAGGGGACACTTGCACCATCCAGCGACCAGGTTTCATGATAGGGAAATGGAAGACTACGGACTGCGTCCGTAGCACATCCTTGGTGCACTCGGGACTCGCCTCATGGTACAGCTCGTCGTCAGGGTCACGGACACGCACGGCGAGGAACTCGACCGCACTTCCTACGACTGCCACGCGGCCGTCCACACCCAGGGAGGCATCGATGATGAAAGGAAGCTGGCGCTCGCCGCGCAACCGAAGCTCCTCGCGACGCACGATGACTTCCCGTTCGTCGGGATGGCTAAGCTGTTGTGCAGCATCAGCCAATGCGTCGTCCAGGAGTGTGCTGTAAACATCACCTTCGCTCGGAACCCAAAAGCTGAGGCCGCCCATTCTGGAAGCGAGCAGCTCCAACGCAGGATCGGCGCGTGCACCCAACGCCACCGTACTGAGAATGACTCCAGTGTTCCACGCTTCAATCGCAGTTTCGTTCTTCCCTCCTAGGGACGCTTCGTGCGTCACAAGCACCGCGATCGCTCCCGCAGGGTGAGAGCCTTTTAGCAGCTGAGCCGCGCGCTCAAGTCCCTTCGACGGGTACACGCCAGCTCGACCACAGCCGTATGGTACAAGAAGTCTTAGGGCCCTTCTCGAACGAGACTCCAGCTTTCGTCAGGTTGGCGAGGACGTGTGCCTCGTCTTCGGCGAGCGCAACCAGCGCAAGCTGCGTACCGTCCGGCATCCGAGACTGGATAAAGCGTGACACGGAATGGTGCACCTGTCTCATCCAGCTTCCGCGACACATTCCTTCCGAGGCGTCCAGCAGGAGGACGACACGTGCAGTGACGTTCTCCTTGGGCCTCACGAACCGGAAACGAGGCTCTTTGGGCGAGCGCTTCGGCTCTCGCTTCAGTGTAAAGTCTTCGTGGGAAGTAGATAATTTCCGACGTACTTTGCCTGTGGCAGAGAACGTTGTGCTGAGTGGGAAGGTACCTGGCCGCTGTCGGGTTGTTCGCTGCCGCGTAGGGCATCCGCAGTAAATCCATCAGCGTCTGCCTGTTGTTGAGCTGGAGGAACAGGTGGCAGTCCGGCCTAACCATTCCCAAGGGTGTCGCCGCGCATCTGCTTCCGTCGGGCAGAGATAGCACTCCGGTGAGGCCTTTCGAAAGGCTCACGGGAAACACGGTGTCGTTGTCGGTCACCGCCATAGGAAAGCGCCGGCTGCCCGGAATGCCGATCTCGTCGAAGATCCCGTAACGGAATCGTGGCCAAAGATGCACAAACTCGTGTTCTGGCGCAAGGGTGCCGGATTCTGTGCGGACGTGGCGGTCTTGCGATTGCTGCATGATGGCCGATTCCGGAATGAGGATCATTTCACCCGGCATACCACAAGGTAGAGGCTGCACAAGTTCCATGCGAGGCTTCGTGTTCTCGTCTGAGGGCACCACGCGGACCTGGGCGACCTGGTAGAAGTCGGCGTCCAGCTCTTCGTAGTACCTCCGGTAGCGCCAGGTACTGGGCACCTGTAGCGTGACGCTGTCTATCCACGTGCGTCCGGTCACCTCACGCAGCTCCCGGGAGACCCTGGTAAAGAAGCGCTGCAGGTTCTCGAGAGAGAAGTCTTGTTCCGAGACGTTCCTATGTATGGCTACCAGCAGGTGCACTTGGCTTGCTGTTTGCGGGACGTCGTCGGCGCTGCAAGTGGTCATTGCAAACGCCAAGCAGAAAGTGGCGAATCCGCGAAGTCCCATTGCGAGTCTATCGATATACCTAATAGCTCCACCGCAAACTGCTGATTCCTCAGACGTCAACGGATTGATGACGTTAGCTTGAATTTGATTGGTTGGTTTATTAGTTGCACTGGAATTGGGACACCCCCACTACACGTTATACGAATAGCTGCACGTCGGTAGTGAAGAACAACTAAAACATACTATGTAAAACATGACAAGCTTCAAGTATCTCTCCAAATATACAGTATTTAGCCCCAAATAACTAGCCCAAGTTATAGCAAGTGTTTCAAGGTGGGTGAGTGAAACATGGACGGACGAAACTTATGTCGTATGCGTCAAACATATGATGCAAGGATAACGAAGCACTATGACTCGATCAAACATATATGATTGTGAAGACGATGAGGACAATTTTCATACTAGCACGCGCCAGCTGCTGAGTAGACCGTGCAAAGAATGTTCGTATTAGAAAAAATAGCAATATTGTAAAATTTAAACAAAAAATAGTCATGAAGAGAGATTTGGTGAACTATGTTGCTCTGCAGTGTTCAAATAGTTGGCGAGACTGTGCTCATTCAACTTATCTACAAAAGTCATATTACTGAAAAACACCACAGGGCTTGTGTTCTCTTTATGTCGACAATTGATAACTATTACAATGCCATTAGCTGTCTAATGGTGGTAACTACTGTACCGACAACATCGAAAACTGTACGGAGAGATGCACCATAAGAACGAGGCGTGACTTCCACTTCGTCTTGTTTACTCACACCTTCCATTGAACGTTACATTACACATGATCTGCGGGCATCAATATAAGAAATACAAATCCTAAATATCACTTTCAAGTTTCACAAAACTGGTAACCTGAGTGTGTCCCACGGATGAGAAGAAATAGGAACGTGTAAATTGTACTGAAGTAATGATAAAAGAGTTTAAACGTTTAAGAGCTGTCTTCTCATCATCTTGCATTTTCTTCCACTGTGCCTGCCGCATTCACATATATACAAAGTCATCAATTCTTATTCATTTAATTTTGGGAATCACTTCGTCAGACACATGTTGAACCTATTCCTTATTTGGATGGTCGACGTTAATCCCAGATTTTCCTGTGTAATCTAAGCGTTTAATTATGTTCTTATTCCTGTTGCTTTACACTCTTCTTTATGTGCACATGTTCTTGTTTCTTCTGCATTTATATGCGTATCTTGCTTGCTGCAGCCGCTTCTTTTTAATAATATAATGCTATTTCTCTTTGTTCAATTGTTTCTAGGCAGTGAAACATCTATTTGTTGATACTTTCAGGCTGCAAACTTTTTTGTTACATATTTCTTTACCATATGTCGTGAGGTGTAAATTCTTTATATAGATGCTCATACGTATCCACATAACAAGTCTTATAAGTACACACTTCACTCCCTGTATATATAATTGTATTAGTAATCAGTCAGTAAGTGCCACTTTGCCACACTCCACTTAGCTCAATAATACTTACGTGCCAAGCCGAAGAATCCACCTGACTCAAAACACCAAGTTTCATGAGCGAATCGAGCTCTACTGTTAGCTAATGCGAGCGTACATCCCGAATCATGACGTAAGGTAACTTTTAGTTATCAATTTAAACGACGCCAATCTAGCCGCTTCAATGACCTTTGTTCTCAAGTAAACCACAGTACATAAAGATCTCTTGAAATGAAAGTTGGCATTCACTCCCTGTATATATAATTGTATTAGTAATCAGTCAGTAAGTGCCACTTTGCCACACTCCACTTAGCTCAATAATACTTACGTGCCAAGCCGAAGAATCCACCTGACTCAAAACACCAAGTTTCATGAGCGAATCGAGCTCTACTGTTAGCTAATGCGAGCGTACATCCCGAATCATGACGTAAGGTAACTTTTAGTTATCAATTTAAACGACGCCAATCTAGCCGCTTCAATGACCTTTGTTCTCAAGTAAACCACAGTACATAAAGATCTCTTGAAATGAAAGTTGGCATGACGCCGAATATAATCAACAACTGAACACTAGCACTGTGCCATGCAATCCGCCTTTTCAATTTTCCTGCGCTGCCCTCTGCCGCTTTGTTAGGGTTTCATTAGGGGTCGGGACAAGAGGTATTATCGGAACGAAGGCCTCCGAGATTAAGAGGCGTTTTGTGACCTCCCGCTAAGCGGAGGGCACATGCACTGTAGAATCGTGAAAAGGACAGATTGCGGCATGCTACTCATACTGTACTTAGGTGGACACCTCCGTGAACGTGACGACTATAAAGATCCGAAATCAAAGCAAGTGGCGCTAACGTTTTGCGAAATTCATTAGCCAGGCATAGCGACGAGGGTCGGTGGTTGTCGAATACACGACACGACTGCGTCGTATGTGGGAGGCCGGTCTTCTTGCTGCGAAGGAACACCTAGTGTTGGTGTATGTGGCTCCTCCCTTTGAGAGCAGTACGCAGTATCTCTTCCGACGGTGTGACCGACCATGGTTGTCGAGTCCATGGCGCATCCGTAAGGCGGTGGTGTGTCATTGAGTACGTCGTGGAAGCCTCCAAATGACCCGCCTTTAGATGCTGTGTACGCAGGGGGCGGTGTTTGTACGGCCACTGGATTACCCTGCGAATAAAAAAGCCTGTCTGAATTCCTTGCTGTGATAACACAGCAAGCGTCAGAAAGAACACTCGGAAGAGAAAACTTAAGGAGCACTTGCCCCGACGGAGAATTGTGGGCATGCGAGCCTCGGCGTGTGCGTGACTTCCACAATATATACATCTGCTCGTTCCTTTCCACCCATCACACTGCACAATGCTCTCTCCGAACAGTGCTCTTTCTCGATTCCGGGAACCAAACCCTCACCCACGTGCTTAGCAGCGCAACACTTCGGTCGCTGCGGGCAACAACGACATGCATTCACGTGTTCCCATCCAGGCAATGATGAAATTCGGTCACGTGATACGACAGATGACACCGATAAAAGATCGGCTTGCAATATGAGAAACTACCGATCACCAACCAAGAGACGATCGGGAGAGCATCGATTATTGGAAAACGGCGCGTGCGAATATGCATACGAATCGTGCACTCTCGAGGACCAGGCGCACTTATTTAACGTCGTCCATGTCAAGTTTTCTTCGTTTTTTCCCCTCACATCTATACGCTGTCGATGAAAGCTGTAAGGCTGGCCTTCTGTAAGGCAATGAAAACTGCGCTTGAAAAGCAACGATGAAACAAAAAAATGATGAATATGACTCCCGTCCTCTACGTTGTCTAACTCGGGCATAGTATATGAGGTATAGTACATACAGGACGGGACAGAGACGGAGACACATAAAACAAGCACACAAACACAGCTTCATGTGTCTTCTTCTGTGTCCCATCCTGGATCCGTCATACCTCACATATTATAGACAACCAACAAGCCCGCCATGCAACTTCAGTTATTTTGTGCAGTTATAATTAATCTGGGTAAAAAAACGAAAAAACACTGCGCTCGTAATACATTGACATGGCGATTATGAAGAGTGCAGTGGGTCGTACCTCTTTCTTGGCGCTCCGGCAGCCTCGGCAGACGCACCACACCATGGCGAACAGGGAGGCGACGGCGAGCAGGCTGGTGGCGAGAAACACGGTCGCCAAAACAGCTCGACCCAGCGCCGACGCTTGGACGTGAAACGACCGTACCGCCACAAACTCTGCGACGCGTACGGAAGGGCATCCCACAATGCACGGCGTCGTTCGGCGTCATTCAACAAGCTCCACGAAACATTACCTCATTTGTGTTAAGCGAAATTCTGTAAACTAACGCTCCAGTACAAAAACTATTTACACTCCTCGCTGTGCAGGGCCCAAGCTGTCACTCTTAGGCTCCTACAAACAAACACTCACTCAAGCTCTGCGGTCCTGCACACAGTGTACCCCGAACGATTCCCAAGCCTGCAAAGCAGTCTGTGAGGTGGCTATGCGGACTTCAAACATGTCATCAGCGGCTTCCTCTCTCCCGGTCCCCCTCTTCTCTCACAACAAAATCAGCCACATATATTGTCAGTCCCAAAGTCAGCCCCATTTATTGACATGATAGGGGGGGGGGCACAGCGAGGAACCTTCGCCCCCTTCCCCTCTCAACGAGAATCCTACGCACTCTTATTCGTATTTAGTGGATACGAAGGTCAATCGATCATTACTTGCAAAGGTATTCGGGACTCCCATAAAACTTGCTTATTGGAGGTCACATTTTAAAGACCTCTTAACGGGGCACAACTCGAATAAACGCAAGAAACACAAGGCTGTGTTATAGACCCCTTTAATCTCTCACCTACTTTTCGCTTTACCCCTTGCAGAGACTGAAATCCGTTGTTTCGTTCCCTTCACGTAATCTCGGTTCAATAATGGTCAGTGACACAAAAGGCATGACACTCGGTCTTTGCCTTCCGAGACCACTGCATGCAAGTTATATCGGATTCACTCGGACGCTTTCCTATCCTTCGAGTTGAACTCAAATCAATACATGTCAAGCTTTTGTCTAAATGCCCTGGCAGCAGAACTTATGGGGATAATCGGGGTGAACAGTGGAAGTGCCTCAGACTTGCTGGCTGACGTTTCAATAGGAGGACATATCTTAATCAAAGGCGCCGTGTCATCCTTGGCGTGTTAGTCTTAAGGGGGTTAGTGGTCACGTCACCTCCTGGTGGTGGCGCGTGTACCAGTCCGAGACACTTCCACTGTTCACCCTGATTCTCCCACTACGTTGTTTCCATCTGCCAGCTCCCATCTAGATTCTGGCAGCAGAACTGTATCTTCATTCCGGTAAAACACGACACCAGTCACTGATTTCCCGCACGGCAGCTCACAGAATTTCTCGGTCGATTATGTTCGCGGAGTTATAAACTTACTTTTAGATATGTGGTAGAAGCACATGCTCCTCGGATGCGGAAGCACTCTCTCACTCTCATTGCGCTTCTGGTTATCGCGCCCACTTCCTGCGAGGGCGTCTTTTAGAACTCGCTCGAGGCCTGAGCAACGTCTCCATTGGTGACGCTGTCGAGGAAGTGGTTAAAGACCCGCCACCCTGGCGGTGACTGTAGTAGACAGTATCATCCATCACGGAGTTCCCAGAATCGACGTCCGAAACCATGGCGGTGGTCGCGGCTCCCCTGACACCAGGGGCGAGCATACAGAATGCCAGTGTCGTCAGGCAGGTTATTTGGTTCAACAGGTGCCATTTTGTGTGGAACACCATCATCCGGCCAGGGGGATGCGTGCCGATCAGTTTCTGATGGAGAAAAGTCTTTGTTAATATCACGTAAAAAAATCGGCTTTATTGCGTTTATTGTTGTACAATAGAGCACATCAAAGCACGGCACAAGATCTAGAACACTGCAGTAAACATATGGCATCGTTTAATAGCACAAATTTAAAGAATCGCCCCAATCAGTGATGCAAAGGTGATTTTAATTAAGCATGACTGGTTAGTTAGTTAGTTAGTTAATTAGTCAGTCAGTTAGTTAGTTAGTCATTTAGTTAGTCTATTAGTTAATCAGTGAATCAGTTAGTTGATTAGTTGGTCAGGTGGTTAATTAGTTAGTTCATTAGTTGATTAGGTAATCAGTTGATTAATTTGTTAATCTGTTAAACGGTTAGTTAATTGGCTTATCAGTTAGTTAATCAGTTAATCGGTTAGTTAATTGGCTTATCAGTTAGTTAATTGGCTAATCAGTTAGTTAATTGATTTGATCAGTTAGTTAATTGGCTAATCAGTTAGTTAATTGATTTGATCAGTTAGTTAATTGGCTAATCAGTTAGGTAATTTATTTGATCAGTACGCTAATTTGTTAATCAGGCAATTAGTTAGCTAGTTTATCAGTTAATTGGATAATTAGTCAGCTAGTTTATAAGTTAATCGGATAATTAGTTAGCTAGTTTATCAGTTAATCAGGTTATTTCGTTATTACAGTTATTCAGTTAGTTTGGGCTAGTTAATCTGTAGTTAGCTAGTCGTTAGTAGTTAGTTAGTTTAGCTAGTTCGTTAGTTTCAGTTGGTTAGTTAGTTAGTTAGTTAGTAGTTAGTTAGTTAGTAGTTAGTTAGTTAGTTAGTAGTAGTTAGTTAGTTAGTTAGTTAGTTAGTTAGTTAGTTAAACCAAAATGTCTTTGTTCAATATAAGCATTCGTTTGTGCAATTGCATCTTATTATTCTTTTTTTTTTCGCTTTCCAATCAAGCGCACGAGGTCACGTGAGTGTTCTTGTACACCTAATGTTGATGCCGACGACGGACACTTCCCGTATTCCATGGCGCAACTGAGCCGAGTGCGTGGACTGCACTCGTCAACTCAATATTGTTAAGCTAGAGGAGGGGCCCTTCAACCAGCGTTGTATATCACTGCTGTGTGTGTGGCGTCCTGCCTCAGAAGGCTGTATGGAGGTATTGAATCATATTTTTTTGTGTTTAGAAAAATTTTTTTCGTGATATTGAGCACTTCGTACACAACTACAGGGAGAGCAGTGAGCCATGCCTGCGTAATGTTTGCCCAAAATTATGATAGATTCAGACAGGGAAGCTTCATAAGCGCGAAAATGCACGCGACATCGACGAGCGACGCTATGAGCCACGAAACAGGGCGTTCGCGCGACGTGTCGCGTGCTCGTTTTCGCGCGATCGCTCGGTTCTCCAGATTTGGAAACCGTCGCTCATCGCCCCGGAAGTGCTGGGCTCAAGCAGCCAATAGCGAAATACCGGAAAAGACAAAGACTACAGGTGCACGTGACCCTGCCCGAGTCACGTATGCGCAACAAGAAATAACGCAATGTTTATTACGCGTGTGCATATAAAAAAGTGCTGCAAGGCAATAATAAACACTTTCCGTTTCATTACACAACAATATATCGTATTTTTAAATTGGATACCGCTCGCTATGCGGTTTTCTTGGTGCGAGTAGACGGCCTCATGCCAGCAACAGTGGAATCCGCTCGCCGAAGCCGTCGCGTGAATGAGGTTTGCCTGCGCTAGCGACTGATCGCACGAAGCCGATCTACGTCGCGTCGCTTGTCGCTGTCGCGTGCATTTTCGCGCTTATGGGGTTTGGCCTTAACTCTTGTGAAGAGATTTACTGAGCGCGATCGAGCGTTTGGCCATTTAGTCTGTGTGCATTCATGATCAGCCCTAATAGGCGCACTGGTCACTAGGTGCGCCAGCTACAAGTACTTCTTCAAGTTGTATCCAAATGTTTATGTATCCCCACTTAACTTTTAGAGTTCTTTACTCAACGTCTGCCCTTCAACTTGGCCGCCTCTCACAGGTTGCCATGAGGGGTGAGACCATGGTTTTTTTTTCATTATTCCATGTTAGTCACAACCTACCGGGGTTGGCGGGGCTGTCAACACGCTCACATGGCGCAGTTCCTTTACGTGAATTTTACATCAAACGTTAAACTTTAAATCGGAAGTATGCAAGTAAGCATTTGAGCTGAAGTATAGTGGCACACTTTTAATTATTTACGAAGATTGGCCTGCGTGGAGACACAGACGTTTAGGAGCAGCAATGAACGTTCAGACTCTTTTTTCGCAATGACTCAACTACTGCGGGGTGTGCTCAGATATAGCTATTCCAGCTTGAATTTTACCTCTGCTAGGCTCATCATTCGTTCACATTTTAAGCAGTTCACGGTGGGTGGCGTTGCTGAAGACAGGTCTGAAAACCGGGTTAATAATGGTTTCTATCATTGATAGGCCAACCAGCTATTCTACACAATAACATAGGTTCAACTTAGCCAATCAGAATTCAGCGGCAGTACACAGTGAACCATTATAATTGGTTGCAATTAAAAAAAAAATGTACGCTCCAACCACAGAGACTACATTTTCACGCACACGGTTCACTTGTCTTTCAGCTTTGAATGACAGCCATGCTGACTGGTTTCCGCTCGAACCCTAAGTACTTTTTCTCCTCAGCTAGGGTAAATGCTACGTGTATTGGGAGATAAAGCTAACATTAGGTTTGGATGGACACTACTGTCAGAATCCTTGGCTACACTTACCTTGACGTTTCAAGTGTTTGGTCTAAAACCATCGATACAAAAGTGTGTAAGTATGATAGAGTCAACTACGTTGTAGGCCTTGAAAGTACTTGACGTCACAAACATGAGTAAGCGTCATCAGATTGAGCATTTAAGTGAGTTCATTATATGTGCGAGCCAGTGATGTGTATTTCCCTAATTAATTGCACCAACTAGCCTAAACGTGTGTTATACAAGATATCCTCTCGAGTCCATATAGGCTGCACAAGACACTCAATTATTCAAAAAAATTACCTTTGATCGACTCGGGGAGCTCCGCTGGCAGGGAACGCCTTGTTGCCGATGGCTCGCGTCTTCCCACAGGTGCACGCCAGCTGCAGCGGTGTGCAAACACTTTTTTTTCTCAGATGTGATACGGACAAGCGCGCACGGTCGTGGCCCAACATTCTTCGTGTTTGTCGAGAGTAAACAGCGTCGTCCTCTATCTGTCTGTATCTGACGATAGCGACAAAACGACTCGAGCCGGCGGTCGCACCTCTCACCTCGTGAGATACCTACGGCGGCCCCTCGAAAGCGCGAGAACGTGCACACGTGCATTATATAAAGGGGTGCTACTCACTGTCGTACGGAACGGCATTCAAAGGAAGCACATTCCAGGAACTAGTTTTTCTTTGGGAAGAACACAGGAACGCCACCGTTTTGTTCTGAATTGCTGAAACTGTAACGGTAATTCGTTGCATTCAGTAGGGAACATCGGAGGCAACTGCGTTGCTTCGAAAAATGTTCCACGGTATTCGGCAGGCGCTGGCAAGCAGCGCATCATGCAGAACTGGACGGACGGGTCACCGCGTAGGGCCGTTCCACGCGCTTCCCGCACAGCCGCAACCCCTACCGCACGCAAGCGGGGGACAAATAGGCCAATCGGCGACGCTGCGGAGGGTGAAAGAGCGTCGCCAATTGGCTTATTCGTCCCCCGCTTGCGTGCGGTAGGGGTCCCGGCACGTGCGTTGCGGCTGTGCGGGAAGCGCGTGGAACGGCCCGTAAAGTGCGAAAATGTACCGCTCGCCTGTCGTGCGACATTTATGCGTCCCGGTTTTCACTTTAAGGTGCCCGCCGATGGCGCCGGGAAACGAAAGACGCCGAGATATGACCACGTGCAGGAAGAACATTTGTTTTTCACATCTGCCCTAGTCACGTGGGAGGGTGGTCACGTGTCCTAGAAATAATATCACTTTCATCAACAAGTGCATGCTCTCTTCCTCCTTTTCCTTGACACTCGCACACCGAGTACCGAAATTGTCTTTTTTTTTTCTTCCTAGACGTAATGAAAAGTCACCCGTTGTGTCACCCCTATTGTTACGATCGCGCTCGTGTTACAATCAGACAAATACGGTGTGTGTAATATACGGCACGATGCTTACGCAACCCAAGTTTTCATGCGCTTTCTTGAACGTTTCCAAGACAAGTTTTAATTAAAAGACTTGCAATATTTTCCAGAGCACCAACCCCTGTGCATTGGTGGACACGGACGCCGGAGGGAGTCGGCTATGCATGCTCTGGGTTATTTTTCCTGTTAATAAAGTCTTTTTGTAGTTTTTGGCATTCGTCAATACAACAATAAAGCTGTTCCTAGAGCTTCTTTTTCCTCGTGCGATGATCGCGCACGGTGGCATGGTTCACCTTTGTATTTGTTTGTGCGCCCGAATGTCACTCCGGCCATGCTCGAATAGGTGGCGCTTGATGCCCGCGCTGGTTCCCCATACAAAGTAACATGCCTGCAGTATATAGACGCCGCCAAAAATGCGTTTTACAGCGAGCGCTGTTGTGAGATCAGAACACAGGTCACGCGCGGGGCCGCAGTTGTCTGCTGCCTCTAGCGCCGGTGTCCGTAACCAGTATCGCAGTAAATAAGGAAAAAAATCAGTTAATATAAACACCAATGGCACGATGGGATTCGAACCCGGGTCCGCTGCGTGTCATTCCAGTATTCGGCCAGGCTGGTGCTTGGAAATAGGTTGTAAGCTGGCCTCAGGCAGGCTTGATGTCAGGAAAGAAATCACGTTAATAGGAGTAAAAAAAAAGCGTTTTATAACATCAAAGGAACAACCAGGCGTGACACAATGCGAACTTCGTAACGAGTGGGTCGTTCAATGCTCCGACCTATTAGAAAACTTGCTCTTCATCTCCTATTATCTGTGGCGTATACCTATTTCAGGCGTAATTCTTGACCGTCATCATTCACAGGCTGCATAAAAAATTACGGCATATTCATGGGGTGAATGATGATGAATGAGCGAAGCTCCGGAGGGATTCATCGATAAACTGTGAATCTTCCGTGTAATTCGCCCAGTCGATCATCATGTAAAGACGTGAGAAACGCTGTGTGTGTATATACACAAATCAACTTTTATTTGTTCTTAGACGATGGATGGCTTGCGATGTCCCTTGCCTCGCGCGCTCGCACATCGGGATTCTGTCTGCGAGCGCGCGCTGCTGCCGCCTTGCGCTCTCTCCGCTGTGCAGCCTTATCCATCCGGCGACTCCGAGCGCGCGCCAACAGCGAACGATGGATGGATGGATGGATGGATATGGCTGTACCCTTTAGATCGGGCGGTGGCTAGCGCCATCAAGCCGTAGTACCTAATGAACCAAAAACTATATTTATTTTTTTTCCTTAAAAAGTGAGTTTGAGGATTCGTACTTTGCAGTGAAGAGTTTAATTTTCACTCGTGTCTTGACTTTAGCCACCAATCAGATAACCTCCTTCTGGTTAAGTCTACCCGCTTAAAGTTTATTTTGCCCTCCTGGTCCCTAAACCCCAGTGCTTTGAAAAACTCTGCGCCATCATCCTGAACTATAGGGTGAAGCCCTTTACAGAACATTATCAAGTGTTCGGCAGTTTCTTCTTCCTCTCCACACGCACTGCATACTGTGTCTACCCCTTCGTATTTGGCCCGATATGTCTTGGTTCGCAGTACTCCCGTCCTGGCCTCAAACAGTAGAAAACTACCCCGAGTATTATCATAGATCCTTTCCTTGGCAATTTCCTGCTTAAAAGTTTGATAGATCTCTAGTGCGGACTTCTTAATCATGCCCATTCTCCACATGGCAGTCTCCGTTTCCTTTACTTTCTTCTTAGCCGATAGTTCTTTTTGGTTTGGCCACCTGCTGTTTTCTAAGTATTTACCAGTCAACTTCCTGGTTCGCTTCCTCCATTTTGTATCGACATTCTTCATGTACAAGTAGCTGAAAACCTTCCTAGCCCAACGCTCTTCCCCATTTCTCTCAATCGTTTCTCAAATTTTATCTTGCTGCTAGCTTCCCTGCCCTCAAATGATGTCCACCCCATATCACCTTGTACTCCCTGATTTGGTGTATTCCCGTGAGCTCCTAAAGCAAGCCTACCTATTCCACGTTGCTTAATTTCTAATCTTGCTTGAACTTCTGATATCATGCACAAGACCGCATTGCCGAACGTCAGCCCTGGAACCATGACCCCTTTCCATATTCCTCTCACAACATCATACCTATTGTAATTCCACAGTGCCCTATTTTTCATGACTGCTGCATTCCTGTTACCTTTATAGTCACGTATATTTCGTGTTCCCTCAGATACTCGGTCCCATTGCTTATCCATACGCCCAGATATTTGTATTTATCTGTTATCTCTAGCGTGACCTCCTGTATTCTAAGCTCACTACCTTCGTTGTCATTGAAAATCATGACTGCTGATTTTTCCTTACTGAATCTAAAATCTACCCTATCTCCCTCATTACCGCAGATGTCAATCAATCTCTGCAAATCTTCCTTGTTGTTGGCCATTAGCACTATATCATCTGCGTATATTAATGCTGGTAGTGCCTGATCAATCAGTTTTCCTTGTTTGACTAAAGAGAGGTTGAAGCCCAGTCCACTTCCCTCTAATTTTGCCTCTAATCCTTGTAGGTACATCATGAATAATAAGGGTGACAGGGGGCACCCCTGCCTAAGCCCCTGTTTTACCTCTGCAGGCTTGGATACCTGTTTTTCCCACTTTATAACTACCTTGTTGCCTTTATAGATACCCTTTAAAAGATTAGTGACTACATGTTCCACGCCTAGTGTGTCCAGTATTCCCCACAATTCCTCTTGAACCACGCTATCGTACGCTCCCTTGATATCCAAAAATGCTAGCCACAGGGGCCTGTGTTCCTTTTCTGCTATTTCGATGCACTGCGTCAGTGAGAACAGATTGTCTTCCAACCTCCTGTGTTTCCGAAACCCATTCTGCAGTTCCCCCAGCACCCCCTCATCCTCTATCCACGCCTGCAGTCTTTCTTTTATAATCTGCATCGCCAGCCTGTAGACCACTGATGTCACTGTTATAGGACGGTAGTTGTTTATGTTCGCTTTGTCCCCCTTTCCTTTATAGATCATGCTCATCCTGCTAAGTTTCCATCCATTGGGAACTTCACCATCGATTATTATTTTGCTCACTGCCTCTCTCAAAGCCTGCTTAGACTTCGGACCTAATGTCTTTATCAGCCTAATTGGAATGCCATCCGGGCCTGTTGATGTACTACCAGGAACCCTTTTCTCAGCCCTTTCCCACTCTTGTTGTGAAAATGGAGCCATTGCACCACTTGATTCGTCCTTGTCTATTGTGGTGCATAAAGTACCTCTTTGTTGAAATTTTTCTGTCACCCTTGTTCTTATATATTCAATAGCTTTGTCCCCTTCTAGCCTAGCACCTTGGGCTGTAGTTATAAAACTCTGCTCTAGGCTCGTCTCATTTCTTAGGGAGTTTAGATGGTTCCAAAATTTCGCAGCTGCCTTTCTATCTTTTTATGTACTTCTGCCAGCCACTGAGCTCCCTTCCTTCTAATCTTTTCATTGATCAGAAGGGATGCATCCCTTCTACAGCTTAGAAAGGTTGCCCATTTTCTTTCACCATCATCTGTCGGTTCACCCCGCTGCTTAGCATGTCTGTGTTCCCTAGAGGCTTCCTGACGTTTTGCTCTGGCTCTCTTAACTTCCTCATCCCACCAACTTTTGGGTTTGTGTCTTCTTTTCCGGGGTGATTTGTCACGCGTCTTAGCAAGCTCTAGCTCAAAGAGTCTAATTAGATTCGTGTATGTCCACACTGTCTTATTATCCTCCGTGATTACTTTCTCAATTTGTTTAGTGGCTATTTGAATTTGCCTTTCTGGATAAAAATTTTCCTGTAGTTGCTCATCTTGTCTCCTTCCCACTTTCACTGCTCTTCCAAAACTTAGCTTGATACGTTTGTGATCGCTACCCAGACTTCTGGAGCCACCTTCATCTATGTGCATTCCCCTGAGCTTATCATACATCCTATGTGACATTAGTGCATAATCTATCGTCGACTGAAGCCTTCCTACCTCCCATGTTATTTG